GAGAGAGAGAGAGAGAGAGAGAGAGAGAGAGAGAGAGAGAGAGAGAGAGAGAGAGAGAGAGAGATTTATCTGACGTTCCTATGAGAAACTACACTCGTACATGATCCAGTAATACCTAAAAATAACTAGCGGTGAGTCTTCTGTAGACGTATCTATTCAGCTGTCCACACGTGGGAATTTCTGGTAGTTGAAGCCCATCAAGAAATGTCTGCATCTTGGCATATAGGTTGTGTGCCCATCTACTAACAATTGACCTACTTGAACATCTTGAAGATGGCGAGTGTTCGTGGACCTGTGAGTACGAGTGCACTCCATGAGAAAGCAGGAAAGAACAAGACGGTGATGAAGTAGGATTGGTAAGTGAAAGAAGACGTTCAAGGAAAGACGAAGATGCCATGATGACGACAACAACGACCCGGCCATCGACAAAGCTGGAGCAAGAGAGCAGAAGACAGCGAAGATAGCGACAACGGCAACAAAAAAGAAGAAAAAGGGATTCTTAGACAAGAAGAAGAAGAAGAAGAAGAAGAAGAAGAAGAAGAAGAAGAAGAAGAAGAAGAAGAAGAAGAAGAAGGTATTCTTAGACAACAAGAAGAGGAGGAAATAATTTTTAGACAAGAAGAAGAAGAAGAAGAAAAAAGAAGAGTTCTTCAAAATGAATGCAGGGTGGAGCACATCCATCTGCCTCGACAAGGATGTAGATTGGACAAAATGCGGTGTTTAGATTCGAGAATGCAACGACTGTGTTTGTGATGTTGACGATCCCTTTCCGATCATGAGACAGGAGGCGATTGTGCGAGCGATGGCGTGGCCAGACTGGTCGATGATGAGGGCTTCCGGGCTAATCCAGAGGAAGAAGCTGAAGCTGCCACTCTTCTCCGTAGTTCGTTGTAGCGCCGCTTCTCCTGCTCGTATGCAATCTCCATCTGTTTTACAAAAAGTCAATGGACCGTGAATCAAAGCGCATCAACAGATATCAACAGTCAGAAAAAGACAATATTAACCCCCTCCAGAGAGCCACAAAGCAGACAAAACAGTAATAAAATGAAAAGCAGGAAAGAGAGGAGTAATTAGAAGGATTTTTTTTTTTTTTTTTTTTTTTGAAGCAGCGAGGTAAAAAAGTAGGAACAGAAAAAATTAGTGTTTTACCGTTTTAGTAGTTTGTAGTTATGGGTCCGTACATCTGGGCCTAAGGCCCTCCTCTGTGCAAGCACGAATTCGAACCGGCGACCTCGACGGCCTCAAGAGCCAAGTCTCTTAACCACTACAGCAAGGACATGGTGTCCGACAGTGAAACCATCTCTGCCATGATATCCACCCCACCCCTGCAAGGCTGTAGTGTCCAACTCGCCACACACCTTACACAACACCACACGGACGCGGCGATTCTCGCACACTTCGCTCCAATCAATATGTCGTGACCCCCACTGGTACATTTGCCCGCTCACCACACCCGCAGACTTGCAAGTCCGTGGGTTCACGGGAGTCTTTCAGTAGTTATGGATCTGTATCTCCATCCGCGCATGGATTCGAACCGGCGACCTCGGCCTCAAGAGCCAAAGGTGCTTGAAAGTGCCTGCTGTGCACACATTTGCCTAGGTGCAGTGCACATATGTGCATATGTACGATGCATGTGCCGCACCGCGCATGCGCACGTAGCACGATGCAAATGCTGTGCCACACATGTCCAATGCATGTGCCACACTGCACATGCGCAAAACACACACAAAGAAAAAACTGCAAGAAAAGAAAAAGTCTGAAAAGCTGAA